TGAGTGAGCCTTAGTCCACTTGGCCCTACTCCTCTAGGCGTTAGGACTGTAAATAGCAGCTGTTCAAGAGCTGACAATCAAAGGGCAGCTAAAAAAAGGCCCCTCAGTCTGGGCACTGTCGCACTCGGCTTGCAGGTCCTATTTTGGGGGCGAGGGTGCCGACGTGCCAATGGAAAATCCATGGGTGGGAGTCTCCAAAGGTGGGGGGCCCATCTTTCTATCTCCATCCCAGTCCACACACACACACATACACACACACACACACACACACACACACACACACACACACACACCTGTATAAATTGCACATTTTCCTTCCCAACTGTTTGATCCTGTTATCCATATAGCAACCAAGGAAAGAAATGAGGAAGCTGAGACTCAAAGGGATGTATCTGTCTGAGCGTTTGCCTGCCATATAGGCAGTCCTGGGTTTCACTGCCAGCACTGAGTAAACTGGGTGTGGTAGCGCATTCCGGCAATCCCAACCTTTAGAAGATAGAGGCAGATTAGAAATTCAAGGTCACCATTCTTTGCTTCATTGGGAATTTGAGCCCGGCCTGGAATAAATGAGACCCCGTCTCCACAAATAAACAGACAATGCTTACCCCACCCCAAAGCCAAGGGACTTTCCCAAGGAAGGCCTCACAGCTAGGAAGCAGGTGGGTTCATGGCAGCTAGGCAGGTACTGTCCTCTATAGGCAAGCCCTCACTGAGCTAGCAAACCTCCTGCCCTCTGGGGCAGGCAAAGGCTCCATGTTGGGGATAATCAGGGTGTGCTCTTGGTTGGGTGGGTATGTGATGAAGATGACACATGAAAAGAAATCCCATTAGAAGGTCCCTGTCAGTTCTGAGGGGACCTTGCCTTGTTGTAGGAGAGGCAGTTCCAGCAGAGAGTCCAACCCCCATCCATCCTGTGACTACCTGCTCCTCCTCTGCCTGGGCCTCCAGAGACCAGCTGCCCCTGCCAAGTTTCCAAGGAACGTGTCAGATAAGGGGCCTGTGCTCATGACTCTCTCCCACTGGTCACTATCTCCGTCCCTACTGCCATCACCAAGTGGGTAAGAATAGCTCAGCGTGGTGAGGGGCACACACAGGGGACTGAGGTGATGCCCCTGTGTGTGCCCCTCACCAGGCTGTGCTGTTCACAGACGTCTTCAGTCCCCTCGGCATCAGTGTCAGCCACACCCAGCTGCCTGTACCCAAAGTCTCCACATGTGGTAGAGTGCGCCTGCTGCTCTAGAGGATGATCAGGCGGAAGCCACATTGCTTGTGTGCCTCAGCCTCCACAGGGGAGCTGTGTGCCGTAGAGCTGGATGCTGTCTCTCTCAGAACAAAGTGGCACAGCATTTCTTAAGGTCTAAGTGACAGCCAGCTTGGTCGTCTGCTCAGGGTAGGGCTTCCCTGACAGTGGAAGTTCTGTCTAGGTTCCGAGCACTCTTGAGAATGCTGACTCCAGCCAGTGTAGGATCCCTGCCTCCCACAAGGAGGGGGTCCTGGTGTCTGATCACAGGGGAAAGCTACATATCATGGTATCACCTTTGCGTGAGTCTCCACTGACACTCCTCCAAGGATATAAGGAGCACGTCACTCTGAGGGAAGAGTCTGTAGTTGTGGGAGATCCAGGAAGCTTGCTTCCCACATTTTCTGAGTTACCGTGACATCTGATCATAATTAAGACATCTGAGTGCCTAAGGCCTCTCAGCAGTACCCTCTGTATCTCTCTCAGCCTGACTCAACACACAGACTAGCCTCCTGACCCACTCCATCCCCAGATCTGCCCCGGTCTCCTGTCTTCATCACCTCGTTCTCAGATGACCCTTTTCCTTGACCATCCAGCCTGCCTTCTGTCCTTCTAAGTTACCCATCAACTCACAGGGCCCCGGAGAGGCAGCAAGGGATGGTAAGGAAAGAGAAGAGATGGAGTATGGGTCTCTTGTATACTCATACACATTTTTACACCTCACAGAGAAGACCACACCACACTTAAATGCTCGCAGGCTCACGCACACATGTGCCTGTCAGAGAGGCAGGGCCACCAAAGGGTCCCAAGCTCAGGCTCTCAACACTAGCCCTAAAGGTGGCTCTCTTCCGCTCCTGTACTCTTGGGGTCCTGTCACCCCTCTGAGGTCCTCACGGTACAAATTAGAAACAGCTTCCCATAGGAGAAGGATGGTTTGGAAGTGAGACCACAGGAAGAACCATCTTCCCTCAGGCCCAAGCTAGAGCACTGGGGTAGGTGTGGATGTGTATGGGTCTCCAGGGTCTCAAGATTGTTTCATTCTTTGGGGGTGAGGTCCGGGCTGACCTTGGAGCCTCTAGCTTCAAGAGCTCTATCGCTGAGGCTGGAAAAAGTTTAAAAATATCTCCATGTTTACATTCTTTTCAAGCTCGCCTCCCGGGCCTCACTGCTGGGTCCCTTTGATCAGGCCCTATGCCTCTGAAAGGGGTCTGGGAGAGCTAGGAACACAGCTCCCTGCTGTGTAGACCCTCCCAGGCCAGTCAGTACTTCATGACACCCCTCACATCACAAAGCCAGGGGGAGGCCACATCAGTGACCCAACAAAGCCAGTGGGTGCTGGATCTTGCCCTTTCTCCATACCTCTTCTCCAAAACCTGGGCCTCAAGTGCTCCTAGGGACTTCGAATGTGCAGACATTTGTGATAATCCGGGGAAAGCCGTAATTACTCCCAGAGTGTGCCTCGCTCTGTGCTAAATGTACTTTGCAAATTACAAAATGTGGTTCTCCCTGAAACCTCATTTTATACACCAGTGACCAGAGGCTGGGACAGATGAAGTGATCTGTCTGGAGAATGAAGCAAGCATGGTGGCGTGTTCTTCTATTCATACTGATCACATAGTTCCCCCCCCCCCCCGCAATACACACATACAAACACACACACACACACACACACACACACACACACACACCTTGTCTTACTATAGTGTAGCATGGACTCTGCCTGCTCATGATAGCACTAAATTATTCCAGGCACACACTGACTCTTTCACTGTGTGTGTGTGTGTTCCTTCTGTGAGTCCAGCATGCTGTGATCTTATATGATTTTTCCCTTCTTCTCTAGAATGGAACTACACACAACAGTTTTGTGTATACAGATGCTCAGGAAATCTTCACTTCTTGACACTAGTGGGTACCTTCTACCTGATTCTGGAAATTCAAGGAGAAGTTGTCAGGTTGAGACAGATGCCTCCATTTGCTCTGGGTTTCTGTCAGTCATCCTTTTCCTTTGTTGGTTTCCCATCTACTCACCAACCTACCATCCATCTATCCACACAGTTTCTCATTCATCTGTACACTGTGTCCATCCATTATTCACCCACCCAGCTGCTCAGACCCCACCATGACAAGGAGGCAGTGAACATGAAGATTCCAGCTTGCATGCTGCACGAAGCTTCCTCTTTTCAGGCCTCCTTCCCAGTTTTTCCAGAAGGAGCTGGTTAAATGATCTCTAAGTTACTACTGGGGGATCTCGAGGAAGCAGAGACCCGCTGAAGGACACTTCTATGGGAGATTCCACCTACAAAGGCGTAGCTTGTACTCTGGTTCTACGAGACGTTTCATAGCCTTCCTGACACCATTTACCCAAATATGGGACCAAAAGTCCAGCCCAAACAGGCTAATGGATAAGATGAGATGTTATATCCAAGAGGGTCTCCTGCATGGTGAAGACTTCTGAGCGGGTGTGAATTAAGCAGAGAACGAGGCTGGGGTAGCGGGGTGGGGAAGTAGGTGCTCCGGCTTTGGGTTGGGGTGGTCAGTGGAACCCCCAGTGTAGGTGTGTGATGTGTAGGTTCCTGAGTCCAGGGTGACTAAGAGTGGCCTCAGAGTTCAACTGCAGACTCCCCTCCAGGCCAGTCAGGATGCCTGCCCTCTCTTTCTTGCCTGGGTTTGGCTCCTATCCCATAGCAACTGCTGGCAACAGAGAGATTATCTCCTAAAAATAGGGCTGGGCCCCACCAATGTTGTTTTCTCTCTTCCCCATGATTTATCACCATCAACTCTTGGTGCCTGGGACAGCAAGTCTCTCTCTCTCCAGGGAGCAGAGGGAAGGGGGCATGTGGAATCAATCTATGTGGGTTCAGTCTAGGAACAGGGGTCACAGATTAGTCTGGAGGTGTTGGTCAGGCCACTAGGGACATCTCTTAATCCTGGGCAAGAGGCAGGGCTTCACCTGGGGCTGGGGCAGCCTTGGAGTAAACCATTGGAACCTCCTGCCTCACCCCCAACGGTGTCTAACTGAGTGACTCCCTTCTTCTCCATAAGTGTGCCCATTTGGGTGAGTCACAGAATGGGTGGAGCTTGTCCTGGGACAGAAGGAACCATTCCTAGCTTTAGCTCTCCTGTCCCTGCCTCAAGAGGGCTCTCAGCACTGTCCCACAGGCGGAGGGACCTCTGCACATCCTGAATGTAGGCGGCTTATGTGCAAGGACTTGAGTGTGCTCGTAGGTGCAAAGAGGGCACAGGTTCACAAGAACTTGTGCTCCCATAGCACGCAGATGCCCTAAACACGTAGGAACGACTCCTGGAAAGACAGTTCTTCACCTTATGTTTATAGTTACCCTAGGGTTTGTGGCTGGTAGGCTCTTGGAGACCTACGTTACATTGACCCCCAAGCTCTCACCAACAGCCCAGATGATGTCCTTGTGTCCTTCCTCTTCACAAGGACCATACCAAGTTTCCAGAAGTGTTTTGTATGGCAGAAGAGAGGGGGCAGGCATGAAGGAGCAGGTGTGCTCGCTCACACATGCACACGTGGATATGCAGACGAAGTACAGCCGTCCTCTAGAGGGTCCAGTCTGGCTCTCTGAGCCTTTATTATTGGACAGAGAGCTGTCATTTGGAATGTTCCCATAGTCATCCTGTAATCCAGTCATGCCTGGTGACAGTGTCTCCACTCCAAGAAGGTGAAGGGCTTTTATGCTCTCTTGGAACCCAGTGCATCTTGGGTACCGGGACCTCTCTTGGTGAGTTCAGAGGGAGCTGGGGCCGAACTCCTAGCTAGGGCTGCTTGGATCACTCACACTGCTGCCTTCAGGGGCATACTGTCTGCTGGCTGATCCAGGTCCTTCTTTCTTGCCAGAGCCAGGTGGGTGAAGACAAGAATGAGGATGAAGCCTGAGGGGCCCAAGAAGAATGGGTAAGCCCTTAGAAGGGATGAGGAGAAGGGCACCTCACTAAACACCTTGCCAGAGGTGTTGGTTTTATATGAAAATTTCTAGGCAGTGCTGGTATGATTCCTAGTGTCTGATGGAATCTGTGTGGTTGGCCTGCCCTGCTCTTACCTCACCGAGGTCAAAGCATAGCCCAACCTCCTAAGCCCCTTATGCCCGCTTCTTGTGAGGCTGAGGCAGGAAAGTGGTAAATTTGAGGCCTGTGTAGGCTACAGTGAGTTCCAGGCCACGGAGGGGCAAAGTAGTGATATGCTGTTTTAAAATAAAAAGCGTTTTTTTTTTTTTTTTTTTTTAAAGGGCTGGGCAAAGGCCCAGTTGTCCCCCATTCCCCACCTCTCCTCTCTCACATATACATTTTCTCTGGGGTCAGATTGGGGAGTTCATAGAAGAGCCATTGAGCTGTTCACACGGACACTTCACAGCCTTGTACTAGAACCCGCGAAGGAAATCATCCAAGAGCAAACTTATCGGAATAAAGACATAAAACCTCCATTACCTATCGCTGCCAGGGTGCCCAAAAGGATGCCCACAGCTGACAGTTTCGTGGGCATTCCCTTCATGCGGCCCACCTTGCGCATGCATTGGCCCTCCACATTGCAGCGACACACAATCACTGGGGTGGGGAATGAAAAGGAGAGTTAGGGAGGGTTCCCAGCTGCTTTGAGCCTCATGTCTGGAAAAGTGGCTAATACATTCTTTTCTTTCTTTCTTTCTTTCTTTCTTTCTTTCTTTCTTTCTTTCTTTCTTT